TTTTTTGTCATAAGAGTACCTGCACTGTGTGCATTTGATTCAAGAGTAGTCTTATTTTTTGTCTTTTTTTTCTTTAGATCTCTAATATAGAGACACATTGCTAAGTATCTTGAACGTATTGCCTGCAACTTTACGCATTAATAAAACCTTACCTGGTTTTTAAAACCTGGGTATTCAAGAAACATGTGAGCATCATTTGCTTTTAAAAAGGGCCTCTTGAATATTGCAGAAGCTTTTACTGGTACTTCTAGAAGAGACAAAAGTCCTAAAAAAAGGTTTCATTTCTTTTTAAATGTGGGACTCTTTTCCTTCTCTGTTCCAATTTCTTGTAGTACACCAAAAGAAATCCAGCTATCCAAATTACCTCCTGAGACTATTTGTTTGTACTCTACTCTATCAAAATGAAATCTTTTAAATTTACTGCCCCTTTAAAATGTAGCCCTTAATGAGGTTACTCCTCTGACGGAAAGCTGTTTCCACATGATAGATATGCAGCAAATTGGCAGTGCCTTATAGAGAAGGGCTATAGGTTGCAACTTGAGGAAGTCCATCTTGAAAATAAAACACTGCATCTCTTTTTGCAGAAAGCCACTTCAGCTGCCAACACACAATTTTCTATTACAACCTGAGAGAGCTGAGGCCCAGTGTTGCTGGTTTGCCTGCTTTCAAATCCGCTTCCAGTATTCATGCCTCTCCCACTGTTCTTGAATCTCACGGCTTGCTGTCTTCCTCATCTGCATGTTTCATTATAAAAGGTCATGTAGAATTATTTGGAATAAAAGTAGCTACTGTTTTTTCCATGTATATATCATTGGTTGTGTCAAGGGAATATCAACAATAATTTGGTAAGGAATCAAGGATCAAGCTAGAATCAAAGACAAAAAAATAGAGCTACAGAAGAAGCTCTGAGATTGTACTTCAGCATATAAAGCTCCAGAGATGATCCAAATATAAATTATGACCTGAGTTCAATAAATTCAAATGGCTGCACAAGTAAATAATTAAGAAGCTATTTGTCTTTAAAAAGGGAGTAGCAAGGTGCTCAGGTGAAGAAACAGAAGTGTTTGTGCCTTTTAGTTAACTGCTCATTATCATTTGCACCTCTGTTAAATACATGTGCTTTAAAAAAACATTAAAGGAATCTGGGTATGCAGCCTTGACCTTGTCAGGCCACAGGGAAGGAATGTAAGTAGTTTGCCCTAGAAATAACTCTTTGATTACTGATAAATAAGCCAGATTGTGGGGGATGCTTAATGCTATGGAGATTGAAGGAGAAAATGTGTCCCTGGTAATAGCATAGAGATGACCATCTCAATCCTTTGAGAAATGTTGATGGTATTTACAGACTTGAATGAGATTAGGAAAGAAAACTGTTTAGATGAGCAAGAGCACAGAGCAGGAAAAAAGAGAGAAACTTGTTATATTTACTGAGAAGAGCAAAGGGTAGGATTTGGGCTGTCTGAAAAGGGGGAATTGCTATATGGATCTGGGTAAGGTTTTTTTGGAAAATTTTAAATGGAAATAGTTGACTTTGTACAGTGAAACAATAAATAGAGCACTTAAACGGTTATTCCTGGAAATATTTTCAGCAAGGCTGCAAGAAATTTTCCCAAGAAAATAATGTTTATAGTGAAAACAGACTACTATATTTTTTTTCAAGACACAAAAGTAGCTAAAGTTGACCTGGAGGATTTAATTTCTTAGATAGCTGATTTTCAGAATTACCAGTGGTTGTGACATGCTTGGAGTTTGGTTTGACATACAGTTCAGGAGCTGTCACTGGTTGAGAGTTTTGTTAATTGGAGATGTAATTCTGGTTTTCTACCATTTGAATTATTTTTATACTGACGTATTTGGGGGAGAGAGCACACTGAGAAAAGTATGTCTTCATTGGAATAGAGTTAAGTTTATTATTACCTGTTCTCTTTTGAAAGGTTGGTAATCCTGAAGTACATCATAGCTCTGCTCAGTAGTTTGTTGTCAGATTTTAAAATACAAAAGAAATTTCGTTTTTTATTGGTTAAAATATGCACAGAATAGCCTGAATTAATTGGATCTCTTTATACTTTTATTTCTTAAAGTCCTACTCAGATTATTGGGTACCTCCCTTTAAAAAATAAACTTAAAAAGCAAGCAGAACACCTCTCTAACACTTGTACTCTTTTTAATGAAAATTGTGTGAAAAGTGATGCTTCTTTGACAAAGATTTTCCTTGTGACGGCACAATAAACAGTACCTAACACAACAGGAATCAACTGGAAATCATTTTGTATATTTATGCAAATATGAGATGTCTCTTCTCCATTTCCTTTCATTTCACTGCTGAAAGCTGCATAGGCTGTAATGCTCACTTTTTCTTTTTCTTTTTTTTTTTTTTTAATGTCACTGTCAGCAGTCTCATGTTCCTCAGGGATTCTTGCTGGGAGCAGTTCTAGTCAACATTTTCCTTCATGACCTGAAGAAGGTAGTGAACAGAAGTTCACAGGCAATGCTAAGTCCTTACGTGTAGCCGAATGCCATGCCAAGGAAAGGAATTCCAAAACAACTCATAAAACAAAGTGGACAGGCAAATAAGGGTTAGAAGAGCTTTAAATACTTTAAAACATCTGGGTAAAAATATTCTAAACCTTTTTCACACAATTCAGGAAAGAAAGTCCTGGAGTCATCACTGGCAGTTCTCTGAAATCATTGGCTCAGCACAAGCAATTTTCAGAAAAGCTAATGATATGTCATCATCACCACATCACCAGAAAGGGTATTGTAAGACAGAGATGACATTTTGTCACTATACAAAACCTTAGTGTGCCCCATTTTTGAATACTGGGTGAAGTTTTAGTCTACATCTCCAGGATGAGCTAATGAATTAGATATGTTGCAAAGGAGAGGAATTCAGGCAGCAGGGCACAGAGTAGCTGCCTTAAGAAGGAAAAATTCAGAAGTCAGGGTTGCTTCAGTTTGAAGAGGAGAAGGTTGAGGCATATATGCAAAGTTTACAAAATCAGGAAAACACCGAATTGTTCACCAAATATAAGAAACAGGTGGTATTCAAAACCAGTAAACAAACATGGATATATTAGTGGCTAAATAATTTCTTTACACATCGGGTTTCAGCCTCTGGAGTTTGCTGCTCCATGGGGTTGTGAAATGGGCAATATTAGCTGGTTCAGAAAGGGATTAGACACATTCCTGGAGAGTCTGGATACATTACCAGGGCTGTGCCAGAGATAATACCTTCTGATATTCCCTAGTGCAACAGTTATGGATGCTGGAGAAGTATGAGGGGAAGATACTGCAGGAAGCAGTAGGTTTGTGTGTTTGCCCCACATGCTACTCCTGGAAATAGAGCACAAGGCTGCATTGCCTTTTTTGTGGTCCAGTACATGTTATTTCTTACATTCTTGTGTTTTGGCTGTTTAATGAAGACATTTGCCTGCAGTTTTAAATGGACCTGCAACAAAAAGCTGATGGAGTGTGTCTGGGAGAATGGCTTCTCCTGACTGTGATCAACAGGTATTACTCAGTGAAAGGCCTTTATTCTACTGGTGTCATATACATCATCGTGTATGTATTCCAGTTTTTTTGTATCAGATTTATGCAATCAATGTGATGGGATACTAAAATACCTAAATGAATAACATTTGAGCAGATGCACCATGACCAACCAAAGGCAGCAGTTACTTGCCCCTCTTGCCAAGTAAAGCACAGTAGCTGAAACTGAGATTTAGTCTGACAAATGATTTGTGGTTTAAGCCTAGAACCTCCTGATTCACACACCAATATACAGCCAGTGACTGCAATTTGGATGATGGATGCTGACTCATTAGCCTCTGGTACTGAATTTTATTACAACTGAAATCTCTACCCTTTGGTATACTTCTACGTATCTGTCCCCATTTTATCAGGCTTTTTCTTCAACATATTCAGCACTTTAGTCTTAGTTAGGAAAGGACTGTGTGTTGGAAGATGGGAAATGAGTATAACTTGGTAGGACCCAGAACTGTGTATTCAACCCAACAAGTGCTGTTTAGATCAGCGGGTGTTTTGGTAACTGATGTAATGTCAAATCCACTGATCCGGTGAAACACACGTGCAGTCTTGGCTGTGAAAGCAGCATCTGACAGAGCTGAATCAATGACTGCATAGCTTTTAAAGAGGGTTCTTGTCAACACAAGTGCAACAGAGCACCATCTCCTCTCTGTCCGTGACTAGAAGAAAGAAATGAGAAACCACTTTCAACCAGATGGTGATTCCTTCTAGATGAAATAGGAGTCTTGTGCTTAGTATTTTCCGTGAAGTTCATTTTACTCTGGTATTTTGTTGCACTTCGTCTTTTGCACAGAAGATTGCAGGTCAAATAAGCATGAGGGAATTAATAAAAACCCTGAATCTGTGGGAAAGGCAGAAAGAAGGGAAAGAATCAACATGAAATATTTCTAACCACTGAGCTGTATTCTGGAGGTTGGATACTTTTACACAATGATGACCAAAGTAGTCCAATGACTGCTAGCTAGGAAATTACTATATTTAAAATGTGACAACAAAGGAATTGTAATTAATAATCCTAGTAGTTCTTACTGGTTAACAAACACTTTTTACTGCCTTCTGTCTGAGTTGTTATGTCATGTTGCAGGCATGAAGCGTTGAACATCTTTGAGACAGCTAGCATGCTCTTAAAGATTCAAATCTGCCAATATTGCGAAGAGTGAATCAAGTATTCAAGCAAAGGAGTTTACATGTGTGCTCAAGTCTGCTGCTGCTAAAGCATTTTCTTTCTTGTTTAGAATATGAGTGGATAGGATCAAGAACCTTGCTATACTATTTTAATGTAGAGTATTCAATCCTGGCAGTGTCCAAAACTTTCCATTAGCTTGTCACTTGACCTTTCTGAAAAAGTAAATAAATGGTTTTCTTGTCTTTGATGCAATTTATTCTTACTGACTTTCAGAAAATATACGCATAAAAGAAGAAAATTTAAATAGATTCTAACTTCATACTTTCAGGTTCCCGAGCATGCAGAACTTGCCTGGATTCTTGGGTGCTTAACTAATGTGCCACGTCTACTACGTTTGCCCCAGTGGAAGGTATGGACAGTTTGGTAAATTTAAAAGAAATGTTTGGGAATTCAGTAGAAATTTTGTCCTGGAAATACTTGTCATCTATGAAGTACCAACTTTATCTTGGTTGTTCATGCTATAGGTTAAGTAATTCTGTGGTCCTGTGATGGAAGGGGTAAAACATAGCTCTCCAGGTCTGTTCCTCTTAGTGAACATTTTCCTGCTGGAAGGTACAGAATTGTATTTTTGGCAGAGATTTGCAGAAAAACTGTGCTAAAAAAGAGGGTTTTTTACTGTTGTTAAACTGATTTTGCTAGAACATTCAGTGTTATTTCAATGCTTGTTTAATAATGCAAAAGTAATGAAAGATATTGCAGTGGAAACCTTGGCCTTGCTGATTAAGGAGTTCCATTAGCAGCTTTTATTTTTCCACTGTAAAGAGTAGCTGCTGTGTAGATTTTATGGAAGAGTGTTCAAAAGTGGCATATGTTTGAGGAGGAGTATAGAAATTATAAATATTAAAAATGTGCTGAGTGATATTGTATCTTAAATGTTTGCCTTTACAAGTTTCAAATGTTCATCTTCTTATTCTTGGTGTTGCATCAGCCTGACTGCATCAACAGAGTTCTTGCATTTAATTTCCTTGTATTTTATTTTGACATTTAGCAAGTAGAAAAAGACAGGAGAGAGAAGTATCTGAAAAAGGAAAAAAAAAAAAAACCCAACAGCTTAAGAGCAGTTTGGGCTTGCAGAGTTCAGAGCAGTCTTAAATACCTCCAGATGTTTTCTTTTTTCCTGTTTTGCTTCTTAATTAAATAAAACCAGTAAAACTTAAATACAGCAACCAGTGTTAATGCATGGCATAGATTAAAGCAAACCTTTCCAAACCTGAGGTTCTAAAGTTAAGCTCTTAAATCCTACTTTGACTGGATTGACTTTCCAGACCTATAGATAGGTGTTACAGGTGCTAGGCTTTGCAAATTAGGTTCCCTGAACCCTAGGCATTTAGGGATGTAGACAGAATTCAGGATCTGTTGGAGAGCATGAATCTAAATATATTTGAACAGTCCTAGTGAAATAATTCAGATTTCAAGGGGGTTAGTATATTTAACTATTGCTAAAAGTAAAATACAGATATGCCATCACTAGAACAGAATTAGAGTTTGTAGCCTCACTGTCTTGACCTATGTGATCCATATCAGGGAGCAGGAGAGGACTTGAATTCATTAGGTGGATGGTGGGGAGCAGTGAGAACTGCAGGAGACAGCACTGGACTCTGCCTCTGTAGTTCTGGGTTCTCCCAGCTATCACTGGCTGTCCTGGTGACTGTGTGATCACTGTGTCTTGATCTCTAACACAGGTATTAATACCTTTTTGTATCTCCATTATGAAGTGTTTCAAAAATTTATTGCTGAAGACACTATTTAAAAAGTAGGATTTATGGGTAATATACAAGTTTAATAACTCAGCCTGATGGTTTTGCATTTAAAACCATTTCCATTAATAAGGTTACAAGCAGAAAACAAAAGAAACCCTATGTTCCCTTCTCACTAGAGTATCAGAGCTGTGTAGGGAAATTCATAAATATAGAACATAAACCAGAATATATTCATAAGGAGTGGATTTTGCATGACGCTGTCTTCTGTGGAGCTACATAATAAATTACTCAGTTATTCAGAATTGTAATTAATTAAATTCTTGGACCATTATACCATTAGTCAAAAGTGTGATTCTTCTCTGTTTTTCTTTTCCAAACAGATGAAGCGTGCCAGCCAGAATAGCGAAGGAACTGTTGGTTTGTTGACTTACCCTGTGCTTCAAGCAGCAGATATTTTGCTGTACAAGTAAGAGGCAGACTGTGAGCCCATGGGCAATGTCTGTTCAGCTGCCTTGGAATGAATGCTTGTCAGGTCAACATGGTAACTTATAGAGCAGGGGAGCTGGGTGTGATTAGATCAGAAGATTGGAAATGGATGACAGACTCAAATGGCTGGTTGAAATCTAGCCTGGTTAAAAAGCTACTGACAGGGCTGTAAAGAGCAAAAGCTGGTCATGTTAGAATAATTCTTAGGTAATTACAACAGACTGATGTTTAATTATACATATTACACATTCACACTGATACACTTTTTTTAAGTATTTGTGCTTTATTTTATGCTGTGTACTGTAGAGGTACTTAAACTGTGTGTATGTATCATACCAATATTAGTGGGGAATTCTGTGTAGGCCAGTTCATACTGATGAAAAAGTCACTTATTTACTGCAGCTTGTAGTACCTGGGCTAGTGCTGCAATGGAAACAGCCCCTGCTGAGGGACTGGGGACTCAGCATGCCTGAGCCTGTAGCCTGGCTAAAAGAATTTGTAGTTCATTGTCATGACTGGTTGTATTTCATAATATGATTTAAACCGTCTCAGTAAGTAAAAGTTAAAGACAGTGCACCATATACGAATTATTTGTATGTTCAGAGCGTATGTACTTTGTGGCATTGTTCTGAAGGAAGTTGTGAGTATTGTTTGGGACAGAGAAATAACATAAAACTGAGGACAAGGATGTCAGTTCAGACTAACCAAGATAAACCAGTTGTAAATTCAGAAAAATGTATCTAGGGAAATTTCATCTTAATTGATCATAGTAGGCAAAACAGTACTGTTAGAAGACCAAGAGATGGTATTTCTAATTTACCTGAATTTTAAGTAAAAATAACAGGAAGCAAGCAAAAGTCAGAATTATTTTGAATATTATAATGATTTTATTTGAAATTAGTCCCATTTGACTGTCAAATATTTGAGTGATTTGAGTGTCAAGTATTTAAGGGTGAAATCTAGACAACTTTATCAGAAATCACATTGTTTTGATTGAACTCAACCATGTCCGTCTCTTCCATCTCTAATAAGATCAGCTGTTTGTTGGCTACTATCTGTATTAACAGCAGGCTGTCCACCAGAGCACAAAACAAGGAATTGAAAGAGAAACAGTATCTCTTTGAAGAAACTTGACTTAATCTTTAATAAGAAATGTTTTAATGTAAACAAAATAATATGAGGGACAAGAATTGGTGGGAAACAGAAACATAGGAAGGGAATAGCAGTCATGAAGTAGAATTTAGAGGTGGAGGAGGGGGAGAAGCAGTACTAGCTCAGAAGGATCAAAGAGACAGGAAAATGGGCAGAAGGTAAATACATGACAGAAAAGAGTAAAAATAGCACCAGGATAGAAATATTAAAAAAAAAAAAAAAAAAAAAAAAAAAAAAAGGCAAGAAAAAAGGCAAGGTATCATGCAGAGACTTTTATAGAGATAATATGTTTTCTGTTTAGTGGCAAACTTTGTGAATATGGAACCATTTGGGCATATGGAAACATTTCTTTTGACCTGCTTAAAGTATATTGATTATGGTAACTGATTTTCTCTCAGTTATAGGGCACTGTAATTTCCTATTGATTCCTACTGTAACTGTTTTTAGGTTGCCTTGCTGACTGGTTGGGAATAAAGGTGAACAAATTGATTCCTGGATGTCAGCCCAGTAATTCAGAATCGGAAGGAAAGAGTACCATGTTGATCTGAAATTTTCTGGGAACTTAAAAGATGCATAGTGAATTTCCTTATTTTGGAACATGTCCAGTATTCATAGCTGAATACCCTGTAAGCCTTAGGAAAAAAAAAATCTGCTGGGGGATGGGAGAGTAATCAAAAGCTGGCAAGATTTCAAGTCTGCCTCATCTAAAAGAATCATACATTTTTCACAAGTATGATTAACTGTGGGAAAGAATCACCAGGGGAAGTAATGGATTCTTCATCTCCTCATGTCCTCTGATGCAGATTGTGTTTCCGTCCAGAAGCATATTCAAACCATTGAGTTCAATACAGAAGATCAAATTATCCTTTGAATCCAGCAGTTCTAATCTTCTAATAACACTTGTGACAATAGAGTCACTGGACCACATGATTTATACAATTGTGATGAAGAAGAAACACTCTCTTCTTTCCTTCCCTTGATACATCCTCAGTACTAACTCCTCAACAGCAGTTACGTCTTCCTGAGACTTGACATGACAAGCTGCTTGCACTTTATGCCTTGCAGATCTTTCTTACTTTTTTTTTTTTTTTTTACACTATAGCATGTGCTCTTTGATCTCTAAAGAGGCAGCAGGAGATACTACAGAAACCTTTCTTTGAGCTGAGTTTAATGAGTTGCTCTTACAGGTATCTTTGCCGTATATGTCTTCACAAAGGGCTATTTTTTGCCTTTGGTTATGTGCTTCAGTTCAGCACAAAAAGCAGAGTCATCCATGAATATGTTCAGTTTGGGATCTTGTTCCCACAGCACCTATATCTAGCTGGGACTTAGTGTTTGGCTCAGTCTGGCCCTCAGTCATGGCAGAAGCTGTGACAGTCTTGAGTAACATTTCAGCAGAACCAGAGAGCTTTGCTGAGTTTCCTGTATCTGTCTTTTATTAAAAGGTCAACACGTGTTCCTGTTGGAGAAGATCAAGTCCTGCACCTGGAACTAGCCCAAGATATAGCACAACATTTCAACAAGAAATATGGAGAATTCTTTCCTGTACCCAAAGCCATTTTAAGTGAGTTCGTTATTATTTTTCCCTTAACTGCGCTTCGAAGTTGAAGATGGATTTAAATATTGTGAAAATAGTGTCAGGGACCAAGAAAAGGGGGCAAACTGATATTGAGGGAGTGGAAAACTAAAAACTGGCAACAAGAGACTAGAGGCTGTGAAAATGAACTCCCAAGATAGATATAAGGCTTTAGAAATCCATGGTTGAGGAATGTACGTGACGTCTGGTATTCTAGTCCAGGGGGCCAGATGCACTCTGCTGCTGCCAGTCAGCCTTGCCCTTCAAGTACTGGACCTTTTAAGAGAAGGGTCTCTATCCCATGTTGCTCATTCAGGAGACATGTAAGCAACAAGGCAAGAGACCTCTAGCAAGCAGAATTCTTCAGTGTCCAAGTGGGAGATGTTTACTTTAAGCATGCTGAAGTTGGTTTATATGTACAGTGCTCCAATTTTTTTTAAGAGTGTTTAATATATACTTGAGTATTTCAATATGTGTCTGTCACAGAGCTTAAGACTTTATGGTTTTGATCTTAGACTCAGGAAGACTTATAAGGAAAATCTTCTCAGCCATTTTTGAGCTATAAGGTCATAGGCCGGGGGGTGAGGAGGAGTCAGATGGCGCAAATGGCATGTTTGCTAAGAAACGTGAAGAATTGGGCAAGGATGAAGCGTTGCATCTTTGTTGTAAGTAATGTAGAGGAATGCACAGCAGAGACCTTCGCCCCCAAAAGGGCAAGGAGCTCTCACCTTGGAAAAGACAGGCAGCAATAAACCTTTCTCAATTTTCAAGCCTCAGTGACAAAAGTGGTGTTAGACCTAGAGTGGAGTTTTGAGAATATTAGGGATTGCAAACTCTGCAGTTTCTAATTGAGTACTAAGCACTATAAAGAGGAGCTGAGTATAGCCTCTGATGCAGGTGAAACTATTTACCATTAAATAAAAAGCTCAATTTGAAAAAATAAAAAGGAAAAAACCATTTAATTTTGCTCCCCAAAAACGTTCCTTCTTAAGTTCACAAGTATATGCAAACCAGCAAAATATCCTAGATGAATGGAGAAGGTAGGGACCTATTCAGACTCACTAGCTGTAGACAATTGAATTACCTGGATCTTTCAAATTTGCAGAAGAGACTCTTCCAAAAGGTGATTTCAGAATAAAGCACTTTCTGGCACAATCTGAATTGTATGCTGGAAGAACCCTTATCCTTTCACTGAGTACATAGGCCATCTATGAGCAGTATGCAGGTAATTTTGTTGGCTGCATTAGGTGTCTAAAAACAACTGGTATGAGTACTCTGTAGATAAGTGATACTTTAGGTACTCCATGAATGATATTTCTTGGTGAAAAACTGAAGCAGTGTGGGTTGATGCCGTTAAAGTACTTTGCAATATTCCCCTAATGTTCCTAATCTATTTCATGTACATGCATGTATCTTAGCAGTTTGTACAATACCCACACCTTTCATATCTGAGCAGTGCTTTACATCTAACAGAGCTGGTCCGTGTTGAGTTAGAGAATTTTAATAACTGTTTTTACTGAGATTTAGAAGAATTTCCAAGAGATTTTGAGTGGAAAAGTTTTCTGAAATAAGGAGATTAACTGTTACGGGATTCTGATGGGGTTTTTTTACCAGTGGAGTTAACCTGTTTCTCCACTGCTCAGAACCATTCAGTAAGGTGCACTAATAGAAGTGAGGAGAAATTAGGGGGGAAATCAGCATGTAAGCAACATAAAATATTAGGAATAGCCCCAGCAGAAGTTCCTGCTTAGTGAGCATGGGAGAGGTGGAACAGGCTTCATTCAGTTTATGAGGAGAGAGATGGTTTCTTAGAAGGACAGGAAGGGTACAAGGACTAAACAGAGCATACATAATTGCATGAGCAAGGATAAACAGCTTCATCATATAGCTGCACATTGTTCTTAGAAATTGTCATAAGAAACCATTGTCTCATAACTTTTTTTTTTTTTTAAGGTACAACAAAGAAAATAAAATCACTCAGAGATCCATCAGTGAAGATGTCCAAGTCAGACCCACAGAAGTTAGCTACTGTTAGCATAGCAGACAGCCCTGATGAAATAGTGCTGAAATTTCGCAAAGCTGTGACTGACTTTACCTCGGAGGTGACCTACGAGCCCACTGCTCGCCCCGGTGTCTCCAATCTGGTGTCCATTCACGCTGCAGTGACGGGGCTTAGCATCAGAGAGGTGCTGCACCAAGCCACTGGGCTCGACACTGCTCACTACAAAATGGTGGTAGCAGAGTCGGTTATCCAAAAATTCGCACCTATCAGGAATGAAATCAAGAAACTCCAGGAAGACAAGTCTCATTTGATAAAAGTTTTAGAGGATGGAGCAGAGAAAGCCAAAGAGCTGGCTGCTCCTATCTATCAAGAAATAAAGAGACTGGTGGGATTTCAATAGAAGCTGCTGAGTAGTTGCAAGGACTTTTGTGTCATGGGACAGAGATTTTGTTATTTGTAACAAAATCATTTATTAATTATTAATCATTTTGTTTTGAAACAAAAACATTCTTTCCAGGAAGATCCAAGGAGAACGTTGAAGGTGATTGCATTAAAAAGTGCATGAAGCCAGATATTTCCAGCGGGACCAGCATTAAGCTTGTCTGGATAGTTAAAGAGGGAGGACAGAAGCAATCACAATTCACAAAGAAATTATGCAAAAGCAGATTATAAGATTGCCTGAGTGGGTTTTTGGATTTTTCTACTGACCACTGCAAGATGCTGAAGTGTAGGCAAGGTGACCAGAATCTAGCAGAAAGATTTGTAATCCTCTCAAGAACATACTTAGCTGTGTATGTGCTGTTGTTACAGATGGACAATTTATCCTATTGGGGGTTATTCAGCTTTGATATGCTGATTGAACATGTTCTTGGATAACCAAAACAAAACCAGAGACTCAAAAATAAATGCTCAGGGTGATGAAGAGGGAACTTCTCTCTTTAGTTTCTTCAATTTCAGTGTGAATTTTCTTTTGTATCTGTGTAGTTTGTGTGAAGTGAATTTCAATTCTGCCATTTGTGCCATCCTGCTGGTCAGGTCTAAGGTACTTCAGTGAGAAATGACATGTGCTTCAGCTTCTCCTATTTCACCTGCTGTTCTGTTTAGCAAGGAGCTCCAGAATTTTCAGTCCAGCATCAAGTCTAGAATAGCTTTTAAGAAGGTGTAGAAGAGATGTAATCCTGAATCAAAGAAATCTTGGGTTGAGAATCAGAGAACTTTCTATAAAGTTTACAAAATTGCTTCTTTAGAAAATTGTGCTACGGTCAGAGCCATAACAGAATTAAATGGGTCTTTATGGACTCTTCACTACTGAGCCTTGAGAAAGTGAAGTGATGGGAGAGCAGTGTTAGCCTGCCCTAATCTTGGGCCTCACAAGATCCACGGATTTGGACCCATGGATTGTGGCACTTGTTGGGGAATGTGTGGCAAAGGGGCATTGCCAAAAGGAGACACCATGTTCTGAAGAGGGAGAGTAGTACATGTTAAAAGGTAATGAAAGCCCTACTGATCCTGTGCCAACTTATTTAGCTGTGTCGTTACATTTCATGATGCTGTGTTTGAAATTGCTTTACTGTAATGTAAATTGAGTTAATCCTGTACTCTGGCAGCTCATAACCACGCTATGCCTGTGGCATTTGTCATGAAGGATTGCAGTCTTACATGGCTGGGTTCTACATAGTGCAGTTGGCTGGTTGGTTGTTTTGGGTTTTCTAAAAAGCAGTATTTAGTTAATTATAGTGAGTTGATTCAGAAAGAAATATTTAATTTTCCAAAACATAAAGCTGAGGACTGAGCACCTCCAGATCTGTGCTGAGACCTGTATTTATTTGTTAGGGATCTGAAGAAGAGAACTGCCATGCAAGAACTTCATGATGACAGATTTTCTAAAATTAGTCAAGTCTAGAGAAGCAGAGTGGATGGAGACAGACTGATTGGAACCAAACTCAATATAGACAAGCCTAAGGTAATGTCCTCTGGAAAGAATAAGTATATTCAAAAATTGTCCCTGGTTTTAAATAGGCTGTAGTGGATAAGGAAAGGACATGTTATAACTGCACATATTTACATAGTTTTATGAAACTTTTGTTAGTGTTTAACAGCTGCATTGGGGCACTAAGATGAAAAACTAAGGCACACAATTACTGCTGCTTCCTGACTTGGCATAAAATGTTTGCTGTGGCACTTTTTAATATAGATTGATTTCTGCAAAGGTCCCACAGTATATACCTTAAGAGAAGCTAACACGGTCCTCATGAAGACTCTGAAAATCTTTAATACTAGTGTATCTAGTTTCTACCTGTACCTCTTTTTCACTAGCAAACATATATTCAAAAGACAACTCAGAGTTTCAAGGTCTCTTTACACTTCTGATACTCAAATCACCTAATATATAGAATTGCCATTCAACATGCCTTCTCTGCAGTGGAAGGAAAATAGGAGCATTCATGGGAGGGGTTGACGCCAACAGGTAATTTTGGTTTGTTGCTTAAACTGTTCTGAGCAATCTTTCCAAAACTGTTGGATCCTTTTTCAGAAAATCATGTAAGTAAAGCAGGAAAAAAACTTCAAAATAGCCTTTTCTTTGAGCTAGGGGTTTAAGGCATTACATATTTAGCTGTGTTTCAATCAAATACACTAATTTGCCTCTTTTTAATTCAATAATACATTGAGGGTTTTTCCTTCCCTTTCCCCTATCAGTCAAACAAGTCTTATTTGCCTGACCTGTTTCCTTCAAGTAAGGAAATATACATGTTTTTTCATCTTCAGAAAAGTTAAACTTGTGTAAAATGAGTATATTATCCTACTGATTGTTAACTAAGCTTTTCATTTCAGTTGCTTCTGTGGAGGAATTCTCAAAATAATATGTGTTTGCCCAGTGAAATAATCCCGATTCCATTAACAGCCATGATCCTTAGAATCCCTTGAGAGGAGACAACAAATGTAGATGTTTGCAGGTATCTGTTGCCTATTTCAGGTTTTTTAGAGTGGTTTTTTTTTCTGCAAAGTTAACCATCTTGGCACTCAGGTGGTTTAGCTGAGCTTGAAGCAATGAGTTGATTCCAAGCTACTCTCTCCTCTTCTACCTCCCTGTTTCCCTTTGGGAATGTCATATTAACACCCATTCTGTATAGGGTTCTGTGGCAATGTTAACTAAGGAGTGCAGTTGAGTTGGAATAGCTGCTTAGAGAAAAATTGTTGGAGAAGACTTGATGCTTTATGTTTCATAGTTATTTATTTCACATTAACTCTGGTGCTGGGGATTTAATGTTTGTTTGCAACAAAATAGATGCACTCCTGAAACACATTTTCATGTTTTTTTTAATCCAAATCACATTCTTCAAGACTTCTCTGTGATGTCAGTTGAAGTGCAGTTGGTGAGGAGTTTCTGCAGAAGCACACTCCTCATCCCAGCTGCAGTGTGGTATAGACATGCCCTGTGTTATTGTGGAAGTCACTGTAAGGTGTTCTTCCAGGACAGGGTAGGGGAAAAGGAACAAATATATATTTCCTAATTGAAACAAAGAGAGTCAAGAAGTGGAGAGGTATCCTTACCCCGTGCTGTGTTGCTCACTGAAGAGCAAGCAGAAACAATGATCTTTTATTTAGAATGCATCAGTAATTTGTGCTTTAGACTCAAAATCTCCTCTCTTGCCATTTCTGTGCACCTGTTAGTAGATGTTATGTTCTAACCAGTTAGTAATGTTAGTGAACGTGGCCTATTGAAGATCCCAACCATTACATATGTATCAGACATAGCATCTCCTGGTGAGATTCACTCACCTTCAGAGATAAGACATCAACTCCACAGTGAATTACTTGCAAAAATGTAACAAAAACATTTATACACTTGAGACATGCATTTTTCCAGCTAGTTGTTCCTAGGAGTCATGATATCATGTAGTGGGTCTCAGCTCTGTGCTTTCAATTTAGAGCACGGAGTTTACTGAGAATTTTAGATTCAGGAACAATGTTTTCTGCAGCAGAGATTCAAAATTATGGTTAGCCCCATAAATTAACTCCGGGACTGCTCCAGCATACATCCCTGCCTCAAATAGCTGGAGTGCATGGATATTGTACATTATACTGGAATTTAATTGTAAGTCTTAAAGATGTGGTTGAAGTATACTTAGTTTTCAAACACCATGACCTGGTTTCTCAGATTCCCCAGAAGTCTTTCTGCATAGTTCTGATTCAGTGTGTGTTTATCTACAACCAGTTCAAGCAAAGCTCCTTTGCAGGATTATGGCTGCATCCATTAAAGGCTAGAGAATTCGTAAAAATGAGCTGAAAGTCTAAGGAACGACAGTGACATGGGATCCTTGGGGACTGACCTGCATCTAAATGTTTTGGGAACCATAGGTTAGCAAAGCTAATGTTTTCTTATCCTTGGTTAGGACCATTATGATCCTGACAACAGTGTAGCAGTAAATACTGATGATGAAAGTTTGTTCTTTCAGCAGTCCAGCTTGGTTAGATTTACATTCAGTACAAGGGATGGATCTTTCACCATTTTGATCTGTGCATATAAACTCCTGATTGCTGCCTACCTTTTTTTTTTTTTTTCTAATGACTGATGGACTGCTGCACAGAGAAATCGTCTAGCAAGCTGGTGGAGGAAGTCTAGTGGGAAAGGGGTTTTGTTCAGGAAATATATTATCTGTTCTTGACAGGAAAACAAAGCCCCTCTTTCTGCTGTATTGGACTGTCTAATTTCCTTTTAATTTTTTGATCTGTTCATTCTTTCTAAGTTAATTTGACAGTAGCTGCAAGAAGAATGTCAATGTATTGTGTAGTCAAAAGCCTTGGAAGGACACAGACATCTCTTATCTTTTCTAAGGTCTCTTATATAGCCAGCTTTGGGGAAAATGCTGCAGCAAAACTGTAGTCATATGTGACGTTAATTTATCTCCTTAAAGCTTTGGTGTTTTGGTTTGGATTTTTTTTTTGTTGTTGTTGTTCACTCAGCTGTGAAAGAAGACTTATTAAAAATTGAATTCCCAATGAAGCTTTTTATTGCATAGTCCTGTCCAGATGACTGCTGAAGTAATGGAAAATTCTCTTTATTATCACAAAAGATTCTACTCTGATTCTCATTGTCTTTTCTGTTATTCTGTTGGTTGTGCTAATAGGTTTGACATGTAAGTATTTATTCTGTGTCAATAAGAAATCATTTTACCTGAAACAGTCCCATATTATTATGGAAGTGGAAGATTCACTGATCATTTCACTTGTAGGAGCAGCCCTGGAGTCACAATTATTTTATATAAAACCAAATGCCAGCCTCCTGCACAGATAAACAGTTTAACACCTGGGAAGATGTTCTGCCACTGCTGTAAATTGCTGTCACAGAACACCATGACTGAAGATGAGATTATCCACTACAGGAGTGGGCTCGTGCTGCCTGTGGACATAAAATTAAGCACTGAGCTTAATGTCTGTTGTGCTGTCGTGCTCTCAGCATTCCAGCATGGCTGTGAGATGGGAGCAGAGCAAATCTGTGCCACACCAGAAGGCTCGATCAGTTCCAGATGTGCTACATTTGCCGTATGTGCAAGATGAAATGTCAAGACAAGAGCTGCAGAACAAAAATCCTTAAAAGTTGTTAAATGTTTAGAAGTAGCAGCGTGCTTGTAAAGCTTGGCTTATAAAGCCTGTGATAGCATGGTTTTAGCCTCACTCATGGAGCTGACAGGAGCAGTCACACAGCTGAGTGTGATGGTGGCATAAGGTAAGCCATCTGCTTCCTCAGTACAATAATGTAAGGACAGTATGAGTCTAATTTGAGGGGTTACTGGATTAACCCTCACAGGTGGGAAATAATAACTTATGGCAGAGCAAGGTAGTTCCACATCTCTCTTGTGTCCTAAGCCATTCTGAAACCAGATGCTCACAGTTCAGGTGGGGACACAAAGCACAGAGAAGATGCTGTATGGATAGTGTCACTTGTCCCATGTGCTGTTGTATCTATAACTCTGCAATTCCTCCAGTTTGGCACGACTTTATTGTCATCCATCAATGTGAAATGATAATCACATGCTGATAAAATTCATGGAACTTTGGTTTGAAATGCTGGATGTATGTTCTTTACTACCTTTGGTGAAAAGTTTTTCCTGATGCCCCAGGATTTATAAGAAGAAATCATTAAGCCAGATAAGAAGAAACTTATCAAAACAAGGCTACTCTCTGGCATTATCCAGAGTTTCTGGTGTAGGTGGTTTCTGGCTTCCTTCACTCTGTTTACCTTCATGCTTCATCCCCTAAGCCACATCTCTCTCTGAGCAAAGTAAAACCTGTATGTTGAATGTTGTGAGACTGACTTTTTGTTGTGACTGGAAACAGTTTGTCAAATATATTTGAAGAGTCTGTTTGCTGAATAAATAACAAAGATTTCAATAAGTGCTTCTTGAGTATTTAAGCCAAGAAATAAATATGAGTGGGTTAGGGTTTGCTCTGCCCACAGTTACTCCTTCATGGCCTGTCTGGCAGATGTTCCTACAGCAAGAATGGGAAAAAGAGAAATTTTCTCCTTAGGGTTGAAGGCCAGATATAAACTGCAAGTGGCAGTGTGGCATCCATTATTTTTAGATAGTCCTCATTAACTTTCTCTTAGTGGTATATCTGTTTGCACACCCCCAAAGTTGAAATTGTGTGGATATTCAGGGAGGAAAAGCACTGGATGTGAATGACTAAACCCATTTCTGTCTCAGAGCTACTGTCTTTGCTATGCATGGATATTGGCACACAAGGAGGAAGGGCCTTGCTGCTTGGGAGAGGGTTACTGCTGTCACCATTGGGACAACGAATCCAAACTGTGACATTCCTACCTTGAGTTCACCAACATGAACGCCTCTAGAAAGAAGCTGTGAAGTGGATGAATTTACTGTGCACACCACATGAGTGCTGCATGTTCTGTAGTCTCAATGTGACCTGTTGGGAAAGTATCATTTTGGTCTTTAATAACCATTGCCAAAATGGCCCAAGGGTGTGCTGGGATTCTGAAGATCTCAAATATCTTATGAGGAAAAGCTGAAACAGTTGAGCTTGTTCAGCCTTGAGAAGAGATATCTGAGAGAGGGCCTCATCAATGTCTGTAAGTAACTGCAGGGAGGCTGTCAAGAGCATGGAACCAGGCATCCAGTCACACCATTCTTCTTCATTCAGGACGAGAGGCAACGGAAAGAAACTGATGCACAGGAAGTTCCACCTGAACACAAGAAAGAACTTCCTTACTGTGCAGGTGCACTGGAACAGATTGCCCAGAGATGTTGTAGAGTCTCTCTCACTGGAGATATTCCAGAACCATCTAGCCACAATCCCTTGCCGTGTGCTCCAGGATGAACCAGCTTCAGCAGGGAGGTTGGAGGAGCTGACCTACTCTGGTCCCTGCCAACCTCTGTGATTTTGTAAATTCAGATGTGTTGCTGATTTATGTGTGAGTTGTGCTGGCTCCCCTGAAGATGAAATGTGCTTTTTTGGGTGACTTATAGCTAATGTGCCTAATTCCTACAGAGATATTATTAAAATAAACTTCAGAGTTCCAAAATATCTGTGTAGCGTAACAAAATTGAAGTGATGACCTTTGCTGCTGTTTTAATCCACTTTGCTTAACAGCATCACACACTGGAAGGAGTAGAAACTCCACTTTTTTCTTCTTCAAGCCAAGCAAGTTCTAACCCAAAAGGCTTCACTCTACTTGCTGCTTGCCTTTGAGGAGGTGGATTAGCTTGAGTATAAATGTTGTCTTTATGTCTTATGAGGATATTTCTGTGGCTGATGAGTGGTTTGTCAAGGGAGATCTCTGGGTGGCCTGATGGCCTGAGAAGATTTAATGGATGCCACAAGGTTTTAGGGGAGTGTTTTACCTCCCTTCATTTAAAAAAAAAAAAAAAAAAAAAAAAAAAAAAAAAAGTGTAACATAGTTGCAGATGAGAATTTAATAAATGGAGAATATTGAATATTCCCTATCAATTTCATTAGCTGTTTTGCTACAGCTTCATAGAAAACGCCAAAATCTGCATCATCAAGGCCATTTTGGTGTATTGTTTTTAATTTGATTTGAGCCTTTGTTGTCTGCCTTGCAGTTTTCTGTTCCTTTAGTTCTTTCTCTGGAAAAAGAGTTTTGCTCTTTGGTTAAGCAAAGAAGATCTAAAAACATGTTTTACTTTTTATTTCTCTTTTGCTTTTGAGCAGGATTCTTAACTTTGAGCAGGATGCTTTGCCTCAGTTTTCTCACTATAAATGAGGCATAGGAGACTTCATTACACATATATTGGGAAGCTAAACTAATATTTACCAAGCATTTTGAGCCTTCTAGTTCAAGATGCCCTCATTGGGCACTGAGTTAAAGTATTTCTTCCTGAAGTGCTCTTTTGGTGATGCTTGTGGTGTAAGTAAACAGTGAAAAGCGCTGAAGGGCAGGTAGTTCAAATAATGTATTGAGTGAAAGTATCCAAGTTGTGTGCTCTGCAGAAATCTATATGCTGCTGATTTCTACCTTGATATCCCTGTTGTGCTGCAAAATACTTGAAAATGTCCTTTAATGTTTGTCTCGTCCTTGCAGTGTGCACATAAGGGCCACTCGAAGGATCTAATATCTAAAGAAACGTAATTCTACTACAGGGAGGGGAAACAATAATTACTAAATTTCCTGAATGGTAGGGAGCTGGTCCCTCCGTTCTGATGAATATCTCGAGGATGGATGATGAGTATCTCGAGGATGGCACAAGAAAGAACTTCTTTCAGAACTTCCTTTCAATAGCACCCCTGGCTGCTGTTGTTGCGGGCCTCTCGCCGCTGCCCGCCTCGGAACTCAGCGGGCAGAGGAGGGAGCCGGGAAGGTGCCGCAGGAGCGGAGCGGCGCGGGGAGCGTTGCGGGGCTCCGGCTGCGGGAAGGGGCCGCAGTGCGCGGCGGCGGCCGCCAGGGGGCAGCGCCGGGCCGGGGGGCGCTGCGGGCGGGGCCGCGCGGGATCGACCCCGCTCGCACCCGGCCCGGCCCGGCCCGGCCCGGCCCGGCCCGCTCTCCTACGCTCCCCATCCCATCCCGGCCTCGCTGTCCTGCGCTCCCCATCCTGGCCCGCTGTCCTGCGCTCCCCGGCCTCGCACAGCGCCCTGTTTCCTCATGGCACGGGGCCGGGAACTGCTTTTTCATGCGTCCCGCTGCCCTGACCGGGACGAGGGAGCGGGCTCCGAGCTCCGGGTCCAAGAGATTTTCAAACTAGTTCTCCCGGGGAGGGAAGCCGGTTCAGCCCGTATTGCGGGGTGAGTGCGGGAGTGTCGCGGCGACAATGCGCGGCTCTGCACAGGGACGGGGCTGTGTCCCTGCGTAACACTCTGGGCACTCACCGCATCCTCCCAAAGGTTAAAAGCGAGCAGGAGGCGCGTCAAAGGGCCTTTCTGAGCCCCTTCGTCTCCTCTCCCTCCCTCTGGAACGGTGCTTGCTTACTGCACGGAACGCAGCCTCAGCACTGAAGGCTATCCTGACAATTGCATCCCGGAGGGCTCTTTCCCTCAGATGTTAGAGCAGAAGCAGGGGCAGTCCCTGCTCCACTTTCGGGGTTGTGAAGCCCTGCAGGGAAAAGGAGACTGATTCGGTCCGTCCCTTTCCCGACGGTAATTCCCCAGCGCTTTCCCTCAGGCGAGCCGTAAACTGGGGATTATTTCAGTGGCCGAGTGTTTGAACGTGAGGGAACTGTGCAGGGCGATCAGATCTGCTCATCGGGAGTTATTTACTAAGCGCCCCCCGCTTCCCTTAAAGTGGAAAATATGAGACGAGCCGAGGGCTAGCCCGAGCCGTCACCTCCGTAACGTGGGGAGAGAAGGAGAAGCGTACTATAGATGCGCTGGGAAACTTTCGTGATTTTGTTTTCAAGAGTCGGCAACAGGAGCGACAGGGCAAAATACACCTGATGGAGAGAGGATAGAATGAATGCACCGGCAGATAAAAAACGTCTGCCCGCCGTCTTTTGTTGCAGTACGAATTCCCGATACACTACCTTTTCCTCTTTCTTTCCTTTATTCGTTCCCCGCTACCTCCGAAATAAAAGTGGAGACGTGGGATTTGGAAAGCCACGTCTCACCCTGGCCGTGTAGCCCAGCCTTGAGCCTTTCTCAGACTTGCAGTGCGGTGTTAAAGCTCCCGTTGGCCCTGCCTCGTCTCCGCACGTCTTGAAACCCCGGCGAGGCAAGAGAGGTGATGGATGAGAGGGGCGAGTCCGGAGCCCCTCGCATCTGCTGTCCCCCTTGGGCTCCAAGCCCGTGGGTGGGCAGGGTTACACGCCTCTGTTCCCATCCACGGGCTTTCGGGGAGGGCTTAAAGCAAGGCAATGATTACCTTCATCCTGTTACGGGCATGTTTTGCCGAGGCAGGGAATAAGTCTGTGCGTTCCCGAGCACCCCGTCGTGTATTATTGCCCACAGTTTGAGCTCTCTGGGATTAGCTAGAGGCAAAACTCCAGGTTCACGTGGAAATGCCCCGGAGACAACGTGCGTGGGGCAAGCGGGGGAAGCAACAGCAGCGAGCTGCAGTGTTCGCTCTTTTCAAGCATCTCCGCGGGGAAAATTGCAGCAATTTCCATATAACGAAAACCAAGTTAGGAGGAGAAAGATAATAGAAACGATTAGTGAGTGAGTTGGTGCATTTCGAGCAATGAAGCCTTGCGCGTCGGGCACCGTTCCGTGAAGGATGCAGCGTTGGCTGCCATAGATCAATCCCGCTGCTCATTTTTATTCCTGTCTCGGCAAAGCCTGGCGAGTCCCGCTGATCCGCTCGCGTTTTCGTCGGAGGCTCCGTGTGCTGGGGCCCGGAGCAGTGCCGAGGGCGAGTAGCGCATCACTCCTGCGTCTCTTCCTGTCCCCCTTGGGCTCACCCCGAGCGGGGAGTCTCCACTCCCGTCTTCTCCCGAGGTCCCAGGATCAGCCCCGCCGAGTATCTTTTCAACCTCTTTTATTCCAGGCGACTGAGGCTCACACATCACCGATTCACCTAGTACCTAGCAAACTCTTACCCAGCGTTATTGTGTCCCAAATAAATTTTCTAAACAAGCATTTGCCTCCCAAATACGGATATAATCTTCACTGGCTTTCTTTTTAATGAATTCCATTGAATCGATGCGGCAAAGCTCTTTATCTTACAGTGCAGTGCAGAATGTGGCATTGTACACATATGGTTTAGTTTTTTCCCCCTGATTCTTGCGAGCTGGGCAGCTTTCAGCCGGGAAAGGCGCACTTACACATATTCGACTCCTTGCACATTCTAATACACTGAAACGGTACAGGATGGTTTGGGGGAGAGATTAAACTAAGTCTAGGCAAATGCACTGTTAAAGCAAATTCCGAAGAAGTAAGTCTATCCTTAAGACAGAGCTAAAAATGCCGTGGACATTTTTATTGCTGTT